TATGACGCTGAGGGGAAGACTTGCTACATCTGCTACTATGACGCTGGTAACTGTGCGTACGCAGGTTTCATGAGGATGCTTCTGACACCGGAAGAACGACAAGAATGCTACCGAGGCTCCTCATCGCCGAAAGAAGAGCTTTTAGGAGACACCTTGGAGCTGGCACTTGGAATCCTCACGATTGCGATGAGGTATCCAATGCACTTCCAGAATTCGGGTGGACTTGAAGGGGCATGCGTGAGGGGCATTGAAAGATCGTTCTTCCGCTACGCCATCGAGCTTATCACAGTCGATTCCCCACGCAAAAGGACACCACCCAAGAAGAATGAATAGATCGCCGAAATCGTGACCAGCATGTCTGCAGACCTCGTGATTGATTTCACGGTGATCGTTGATGGCGACGTCTACCCTAGTGGAGGTTGGCCGGACCGACGAGACGCAGACCGCTGACGACGTCACGGGTGAAGCAGGAGTTTCCGTTGCCCCGCCAATGCCGACTCAAGAGATGGATGTGGATGCACAACCTGAAGAAGAACAGGGTGCCGAAGAACCTGATCAACGCCAAATGCTTCGTGAAGGGCTTGTGGCGCAGCTCCGCGACTACGTGGAAGTGCTTTCCCAGGGCGAAATGGTGCTGGGAACTCACGACTTCACGTTCTGCGTTGCCTGCGGCAGTGATTCACACCACTTGCCTGATTGCACGGAAAATGCTGCTACGCGAGATTTGGTACAGCGTGGTCTTCAGATCATCAGGGACAGTCTTCTTCGTTATCCACGTCGACCACCTGCACAACAAGCTGAAGGTATGGACGTTGACTCCACAGATCACGTGAGTGTAGCATCATCGGACCGACGACCCAAGGCCAAAGCCCGACCACGACGTGGAGGCGAGGCCGTTCGAAGTGACGTCGTCCTGATCCGCTACGGGAACCCACACAATCTTTGTGCTGACGTGGAGAACCGTCGAGGTCTACATGATGCTTGTGGCGTAAGGCTGCAGGACATGGGCCCCGAGAACAGCCAGCGGGTGGTAGATCTCATTGAAGAGTTGTCAGATCATCGTGACCGCCGACTACCTCAACGAGGAGATCGTGCAAGTTACGACTACAACACCGTTTCAACCTCCATGGCTTCTTGCTCCTCAGCAGTTGTCTCAGGTACCGCTGCAGCTGCAGCCTCCATTGTCTGGGCAATGAATTCACTGGGGATCTCCGTAGGAGTCTCCCGTTGTGAGGTGCCTTGATGATAACCACACGAGATGAACTGTGACCAGCACGAAGTACAGCGGGAGAAGCATGCTGGCACGATGTTGTAGCATGCCGGGCACACCCTCATCCTCCTGCCATCTTCCTCTCTTCGTAGATCTTCGGGTCGCCAGTTGTTGATGACGAACTTGATGGCTTTGTCCATGTAGTGATGCCGAACGGTGTTCTCCCTGTGGGCTTCGAGGACAGTTGTAAGGTCACGCATTATCTGCTCCTTACTTGTGTCATGAGGACCCCGGGGCATTTGCAAAGCAGCTCCATGATCTTGCCCGGAGTCCTGTACCTCTCGAATTCCGGGAGCAATGGGGATCCACTGAAATCCAGCACCATCTCCTTCTCCAATCGTTCGTCATAGATCTTTTCCACCAGCGCGAAAGAGTGTGTATCTCGAGGATTCGGTACGCAAAACCATACCTCCTTGACGAACGGGAACGGTATCGTGCATCCAACAATGATGACACCACTGTCGGTGATACGTCCACCTTCTCGGGCAAGGTCTGTCGAAGCAACGTGGAGGACCACAAGCGGCATGTGCTTGGCCTCCGGCCCGTGTACCCGAGCTTTCGTCGTAGCATTCCTGCTGTCAAACGGTGCGAATACCCCCCAGTAGCTGTGGAGTCGGCCGCCTCTGTCCTCCCTGAGCTGACGACGCCGGTCGAAGTCCCCGTCGGGGTCCTCCGAACCAGGCATGATGCCTTGCAGAACAATGGAGTCCAAGTTGCGGCATGCCGTCGCGTGGAATGCGTCTCCCAGGCGTCCCAGAAGGGTCATCGACGGAGATATTGCGAACCTGTCCTTGTCCAACTGAAGCAAATTGTTCTGGGGGTCGGAATGCGTAGAGTGACCACTGGTAGCCCGAGCAGCCCATGGTTTGACCCAGCCATTGCACTGTGATAAGTACTGCTGATTGGGTCGGGGTGTTCTCATTGTTCTGAATCTCGGTGATCTGATCCTGCACGGAAACCAATCTGTCCGAGTCCGCTGATCCGAGAGGTCCACCGCCAGGGTCTTTCACTCTCACACCCAGGAACTGGAGCCGGATCTTGGCTTTGTACCGTTTTGTGGCTGCCAACATGTTCCCCTGGAACAGTAACTGCAGTCTCTCATTGTACACCCTCTTCCTCTGTTCATTGTCGCGTCCAAGAGCTCCTTCGATTATGCGCCTGCTGCTGTGGGTCCAAAGCTCCTCTTGCCTGACCAGGTCCTCGATCATCACCCACCCTCCTTCATCACACCGAATGACGCCCATGAATGCCACTTGGCATCTTCCATCAAGCCATTCTGACCCTGGGCGTCTTGCGATTCTGTGGCGCAAGTCAGACTGAATGCATGACAGAGCCCAGTCGGCATTCCTCCTTCGATGGGCGGTGATGTTACGAACCACGACCTCGTCCACGATGTCCCATCTGGAATTGATGAATCGCGCGCCTTTGGTCGGGATCAGGTCAAGAATGCCACATCTGATCGGCCTTCCGCCTCCAATGGCAGAATCCGAAGGCATTCCCGAAGCTTCCATCATCGGAGAGGAAGATGCAGAACAGGAGCCCGACGAGGAAATGGACACAGATCCAATGGCGGACTTTGACGACGAGGTACCCGAGGATGTGGCACTTGAACGTCGTCCCGTCCTCATTGCTGGTCATTCCTTGAACATCGGTCCTGAGCTGCAGATCGCCCGCGCCGCTATGCAACCGCCTTACTACCACAACAAGCGAAATGCTCATTGCATCGATGCCAACATGGCTGCTCTCTCCTACATGGCGTTTGTGGTCTGCAGATGCATCTACAAGACGTGGTCCGGTTTGGCGAAATGGGCGACTATGCCATTATTCCAGCTAAAAGAAAGTCTCTCCAATGGCCAACGCTATGACGTACTTGGAAAATGGAGTGTACTGGCAGAATTGGACTCCGAAACTGGTGTGAGCAGGGAGGTGACTGATGAAGAGATCATTCGCTTTGCCAAGGAAAGGGAAAATGCCAAGCCGTATGATCCCAACGGGACGTACACTCTTAAGCGCTTCCGAACGAACCAGCTGATCTCGCTGTTGATCCGAGGAGCAAACATGATGGGAATTAGCAGGGACAACTTCAACCCAAGCACCTACCTGAAGGATGAGAATGACGTGAAGGTCATGCACTTCTGTTGCTTGAACGTCCTATGCGAAGTTATTCCCATGGTGACAGGACACTCGCAGTTTTCTGTTCTTCGACCTACACCGACTGGACCCGTAGACTTTCTGTACATCGACCCAGTTGGGATCCTCCTGATGCACATGGACCATTCCGTGCAGACCATCGGGTTGCTTGTGGATCACAACGTACAGATGCCGTCACATTTCTTGGACAAACTGCGTGCCAGCAGGCTCGAAAGACAACAGCATCCAAATGCGCGTCGTCCTGAAGCACTACATCACATTTCCGCCGACGAGTATCTTCCGCGCGGACAGACCTCCATCATGGACACGCCTGTCACGGCAGAAGAAACCTCGAGTGCTTCCGCATCCACTGCTGCCCCGAAAGCTCGCCCACGAGGAGGTGGAAGACATGGAGGTTGGAATTCCAATACTTACCATGACTACATCGAGGGCAAGAGCAGAAACAAGGGGAAAGCCAAGGGGAAGGGCAGATCTCCGTACCCAGAGGAAAATCTCAGGCCCTGGGAGCGTGATCCTCCATCGGATCCCGTGGCTACTCGACAATGGTTGCGGGACAACACTTGATCGGCTATGCCTTTATGCACGTGACCTCTGCGCTTCGCTCATGAATTTCATTGCGAATGCCTCTTTCTTCGGTGACGCCTGATTCGTTTGTCATTTCAGGCGATCGTCACTGACGTAGATGAGTGTCACACCGTTTCTAATTGGGATGCAAGGCTCTGATCCATATTTCAAAGTTGCGGCGGACTAATCCCTAGTGTTCCTATCGCGCCTACTTCCGGGTGAGCAGCGTCGGAGACGCAACTCATGGGGGGTGCGAACGGACTGCGATGCCTAGTCAAGTTCTATGGTGTCACGATAAGAGCTGTGAGCATGGCCATGTAAAGGTCAAGAGAGAAGGCACGCTACGCGCCCGTCATCTCTAGGTGTAGGCTTGTGGAAGTGCTACGCACGCCGCAATGCCGAACCTTCCTGTATGATTTCCGCCCACGCAACTTTGGCTCAAGGCTCAAGGCTCAAGTGTGAGCACATGCTATAGAAAGCATTGCCCATAGCTAAATAGCTATCGTCTTCTGTGACCTTCCGAGGGACAGAGCCATCCCGAGCACAGACGATCCATCGCTGGCCGCGAAGGTGCAAGACAAGCGAGCTCTGGATCTGCCTGCACTGGGAGTGAGGCTTACGTGTGGGAAAGGGAAAGAGAGAGTGGCTGAGTTCGTAGAGGGCAACCACGCCAGTATTCAACATAGCTCTGTGGGGTGAGCGACAAGGGACATCATCAAGAACAAATCCCCACGCAGTAGTAGTAGTAGTAGTAGTAGGAATAGTAGTAGTAATAGTAGTAGTCGTCGTAGTCTAAATCGTAGTCGTCAGAGGAGCAGGAGCAGCAGCAGTTGCCGCAGCTTTTCAAACAACCTTTCTCAAAACAGGCACCAAGAAATTCTCCACCACTGCAGGAGTGTCAGCTGAGAGCTTGCGTTGCTTCGTTGCGTGTGTACAGTTCAATGCATCATTGAGCCGGTTGGTTCCCTCAGCGAGGTATTTCGCGATCGCTGGTGTCCAGCGCCTCCTGCGGCAGATGGGCGAAGACATTGGACCAACGGCTTCAACGTGGGTGCAGGCCCGGAGCTTGACCGGAAGCAAGACCGGCAGTTTACGTTAGAGGTTAGAAGGCACAGGGGCATGGAGGCAACAGGGGCTGCAACCGGGGTATACTATGGGTAAATCGAAGGAGCAGGGATATTTCTGACATCCAGATTTCAGCTGAGCGTAAGAGCGAAGGAAGGGCTTCTGTCCGGTCGAGCAACAAACGGACGTGCTCGGAAAAAACCACACGAGGAGAACATACGGGATCATGTGGATGAGGTGGATCCGGATGACCGTCGAGACCTCCTGCCTGTTTCATTTCATAGCAGATTTCCCCTGTCCCGTAGGGTACTTGGCATTCACGCCTTCGCTGATTAGAGTTTTTGGGCATGCGGTGAGGTTGGGGCTGCAGGAAGGGGTGCCTCCTGTTAGCAGCCTCGGGCCAGCGTGAGGGCAGTGCAGAATGACCACAGGCTGAGCCCTGAACGGGGAAGGGTGCTTGCACAGGAAAGAACAGGTCGCTTCGGGGAAGCCTGGCAAGTCGGGAGAGAGGTGCTCGAGCAACAGAGCGTGTTGACCCTAAGAGAAGCCGAGCCGAAGGTAGGTCTGGGTTTCTGTGCTCGCAGCTTGCTGTAGCCAGGTGTTTCAGACAAACCGTTGCTTTGGTCCAAACCTGCTGTGTCGGCAGGCAGCACTGGACATGTGGGAAGGACAGAAAGGTCGCCGATTGAGTACATCTGTGGCGACGGAAAGGTCAGGTCCTCACGCAGTAGTGGAGAGTCACACAGTCTTCTCGCCATTCAACAGAGAACCTGTCTGCAAACCTTATCTCAGGATTGCTGTTCCAGCTTATGAGCCCGGGCCTGTGACTTGCAGATGCTGTGACAGCATGCCGACGTCGAAGCTGCACCTGCACCCCATCGGGTCATGTTTCAGGGAAGTGTCCTCACCGCGCCGAGGTTTGAGCTCGAGTTTCAGACGTACTGCGCGCAGGCTGGTGCATCGGAGGCATGGACCACGGATATTCTGACACGTGAAAAAGTCAATGTCATGGAGAGCTGCACGGAGCTCCTTGTCTCAGAGGATTCCTTCGCTTCAAACAGTAGGGAAGCTAGATGGAGCCATCGAGCGCCATCCCAGGCTTTCGATCAAATTCTTTGGTTCGCTGAAAACTCGAGTGGTGCTTCTCCCCGAGAAGGTCCGGGAATGCTGAAATCCGAACCCTCATGAACCCCCGTGTCATCCATGCTAGGGCAAGGCAAGCGTTCCGCAACGAGCGACCTTAAATCTACCACGACACTGTATAGCCCTTGACTTGTGCCGAAAGGCGAAGATACTGTGGAAGAAGCTCACGAAGGTGTACAAGACGTTTGCTCCAGATTTGTTGAAGCTAGAGTCGCCGGGCTTGGAAACATGGCAACGCTTTTTTCGTTCGACTTGCCTGTTAGCTGCAATGTTGGTGTAGGCGTTTCTGCGGCCGGACCATGGTCATCGGTGATGGCGGAACAGGCAAATCTGTCTTGACGAAACAGCTCCTAGCTGAAATAGCCCAGATGGAAGCAACTGTGCTGCAAGATGTTCCGGGGAATCTGGAGTCTACGTGCCGTTTACTGCACGTGACACAAATAATCTTTAAGCCTGCCAGACCGGCGGGGAAGGGCTCAGAGTGCTGGCAGCTTTTTTGTGATTAGGTTGGTTCACAGAGGCGGAAGACATATTGTGGAGAGGAGAGAGAGATAGTTAAGCGGTGCAGATCTTTGCTGAAGGTGCAGTTTCGAAAGCAGCTTTACTCCAAATATGTCGGAGTGTCCCTAGTTTACTCCAGGGGTTCGCATGCAATGAGCCCTAGAACGAAACGTCGCACATGCAACAAAGCTGCACCAGGGTGCAGACAACGCTGCCCGTCCGTTTTCAGGTTGCATACATTCACCAACATGCTGCTGAGCGCAAGAAGACGGCGGACGGAGACAATGCCAAAGGCAAGCCTCGCGAGGTGTTGGTGCCTCTCCGGGTGCCATTGGTGGACATCATGCGACAGATGGAGGAGGACCCAACGCTGCTGGCAGAACCCGACGCACTCAGTGACCCGCTCGCCACTTGGATGGCCCGGAAGTACGGAGGAGATTCGTCTTTGGCACAACTCATCGTGCAGGTTCGTCAATCCCAGGAGACTGACGACGAAGAGGAGCCAAGCGAAGACGAAGCGGATATCCTGGGCTTGTTTGTGCTTTTGGATGGATTGGATGAGGCTGCAGCGGTGCGCACAACCATTCTTTCGTATCTGACAGCGCTCTTGGCAGCGGAGCCTTGCCATTTTCCCTTGCTGACTTCTCGGCCGGGGATCGTGGGTTTCCCCGAACAAGAAGCTCTCGCCAACATGGGCTTCGTTGCGTGCCTCATGTCTCCTTTGTCGCAACAAGCTTCGCGAGAGCTGGCCGCCTCCATCCTGAAGCGCAACCGCGAATCGGAGGCTAGAGTGCAGAAGATGGTGGCCACTCGGCTCAAGTTGAGCCCGGACGACCGCTGTCCAGGACATGCCTTTGCGCACTTTTGCTCACGAGGACACCGTCGGCGATCCCGCCTATGCGGGGCTAGCCGGAAATCCGCTGTGCTTAACTTTGCTCGTGCACGTCCTGCGCAAGACGGAGCCTTGGTGCAACTAAGTCGAGCAGTCATCAGTGGTAAGGCCAGAGTTGTATAGACTTGTGGAAGCATCGCAGCCGTTCTGTCAGCAATGTTGTTATGGACGTGAGGAGGAGACCGGCAAAGTGTCGAAGATTTTGACCAAGACCACCATGTATCAGCAGGCCTTAAAGTAGCTCGCCCCTTTTTCAAGAAGCGTTTCCGCAGTTCGCAATTTGCCAATGGCTGCTGTGCTCGCCTTTGTGTTTGTGGCAGTGTCAACCTTGAGCTTGCGATGTGTCATAGTTTGGACCAAGGTTAATGCTGCACGTTGCTGATGCAGCGCTGCTTGGTTGTAATCGGTCTCCAACTGTACGATCTGTACAGCAGATGTCAGATCAACCGTAGCTCTTTGACTTCCAAAGCCCACAGAACCGGTCGCGACAAGGAAGTTCATGTCGCGGGATGGTCAAGCAGACATGGAAACGATTCGCCAGCTCGAGGCCCTGTGCCTCGGCAGGCTTGAAGAATAATGCAACTCTTTGCCGTTGATGCGGTACTCCTCTTTGCAGCATGACCTGCATGGTCGTGATGCGTCTGGTAAGGAAGGGCCCAAAGGCGCGACAGCTTTTCCAAGCCATCGCCTGGCAGGCTCGGAGAACTCTTAACTCTTCTCGGAGCGTTTAAGCTTAGAGTGTGACAGTTCAGGCTGTGAAGTGGTGCAGTCAGTGCAGTCACAACTCGAAGGAGACTTGCAAGCGGCAGCGCAGCTTCACCCTGGCCGAAGCGGAAGCTATCAGCTCCGACAAGGATTCCTCGCTTCCAAGATTCGCGGTTCCCTGAGCAGCTTGCTAGTCTGGGTTATGGGTTGTGAATGGCTTTGACAAGGTATGACAAGGTCGGTCAACGTCAGGACATCTTGTGTTCAGCCCCTGCCACAGATCCTCAGCTGGTGCGATTGGAACAAACAACCGCAGAAGCAGCGAGATTAACGCAGACAAGAATGCCGGAAGATGCTACCAGCCAGTGTAGGCAACTGTAACAACCCCCGTGACTCGCTGCCGCCCTAGAAGCGCCAGGACACCTTCGAAGCTTTCCGTTGCAGCATCGTTTCAGGTCGCTTGCCCGCGTTCTCAGTGCTGGAAGGTGCTGCCGGCAAGGAGATTCAGCTGGCACATCTTTCCTTCCAAGAGCTTCTCGCGGCTGAGTTTGCAACCGCTGTTCTACAACATTCGCACAAGACATTCCACATAGCCTCCTATTGGAACTTTCTGAGCTCCTCATCGGTGTCTTGCCAGAGCCGGGATCGTTTGGCAGAGCAGTGGTGGCTCGCAGTGTGGGTCAACGTTGCAGAGATGCTTGGCGAAGACTGCTTTCACGCCTGGTGCAAGGAAGTTGGAAGCGACGAGCGTGCGCATCTTAAGACTGGGAGGATTTGTTTACATTGGAGCCCCATGTATTTAAATGGGGATGATGAAAATCAGCGAGCTGAGCTTCCGCATCTGGTCAGATCATACCGGGTGACGTGGATTGATTCACGGGCGAAGCTCCTGAAGATGGAGGAGACAAAATACAAAAAGGTCAGGAACCAGTTGGGAGTTCAGAGAAAGGGGGAAACTGCCGCAATGCTTTCCGAGTTGATGCCCCTCGAGGCAGCACACTGGATCTGTGAAGGTGTCGGAACCCTGGCTTGCCACGCCGTGGTCCACAGGCATTGGACCCTGTTGAAGGCCTTGTTAGCAGCAGGAACTTGGCGGCATAAGTCGGCATATCCCTGTGCTTGGGGACGGCTGACTTTCGAGTAGTGTCGGAATTGAGATGAGGGGAGAGAAGTGGTAGCTCGTCATCTCCTATGCGTTGCATTCCGGCCCCGAGCACTGCAGATGACTTTGCTTCAACCCTTCATGAAGTGTGCCTTACAGTTAACGCGAGACAGAAGCAGGAGCCCTTCTGCTCGGCCCCCTTGAAAGGCTCGTCCGAGTCAGTATGTCTCTGCCCCCGCCTATTCCCGGCACCACCCCACCCAAGGGGCCGACAAGGATTGGCACTCCTTGTACCGAATTAAAACGATTTTCAAATCACGCAGCTGTGGCCAGCTGCCGCCAGAGTGTGGGAATGGACAGTTTATCAATCTAACATGGGGCTTCCCTGAATGCTAGCCACCAGCCAGCAGCTGCGGGGGTAGGCGGATCCTGTCAGGAATGCATCATTGCATTTGTGCAGCCAACTGCGAGACGCTTGACTAAGAATGGTTGTCTGCACATGCTTCAGATTTTCATTACTAGAGCATGCTCATTTCATCTCATCCCCCCTTTTGACACTGTTTGGATCTGTCGAAGGAGCGTGCAAACACTATGTCTGCGAAGCACAGACTGGACCGGTGTCCACCTCTTGGATGACATCAAGGCGGACATCAATTTCCCACATCCAGACTGCATGATTGCTCCAAACCTTCGCATGGCAGCGCGTTACGAGCATGAGGAGGCAGCTCGTGTGCAAACACCTTCCCCTGCTGCCAGACAGTTGGCAGAGAGCAGAAGCGACTTTCCAGCGACTTTGCAGAAGGCTTCTGCTGGCACCCTCGAGTTCAGCCCGGAGCTGGATTTGGAGTCGATTCACCCGGACACCGGCATCACGCTACTGATGTGTGCTGCAGCTGGTGGTTGCCCGGATCTGGTGGCGGCTCTGCTAAAATGCAGGGCGAATGTTAACTCTCGGTCTTCGGAGAAGTGCACGGCCCTTCATTTCGCGGTGGACTGTGCTTCGGGGGAGCCAGGGAATGCTTGTGTGCGACTCCTTCTGGAGGCCCGAGCAGACCCAAATGCTAAGTGTGGCGTGTCGACAACCGCGCGAAACTGTGGCATAGGAACCGGCTATATGGCAGGCTGCATGCCAACTATGGCCAGCGACGTGACAAAGCTAGAGCTCCTCCTTGAACACGGGTATGATGCGACAATGACGAGTGACTATGGGCTGTCATTGCTCTTCTGGGCCTGCCATGCGAGCTCCAAGAATCCAAATTGCACCCCCGTGCTACAGCGGCTTTTGGAGCTAAAGTGCTCGTTCTTGGAGAGACTTGAGCCTTCAGCCAATGCTCGTGCCAGCAACCAGGAGCCTTTTGGCATTGGCTTAAACGCTGCCGCTTATAGAACCACGCCAACTACTCTGGCTGCATATTTGACGTGTGGCAGGTTCCATCTCACCGACCCGGCAATGCAATGTCTCTTAGACAATTATGACGTGAACACCAGGGAGGTTGTGACGGAATGCAATCCCGGTATCCCTATCACAGTCTATCAGATGCCTGCGTGGAACGCGGCACAGCAAAGCCCCGCGTTGTATTTTGATGATACCAAGTGGGTGGAGTACGTCTTTGAAAAAGGCCTCGATCTTAAGCAGCCCTACGTGAAGTTGCACCGCAACTGGCTGGTGAGACTTCTAGTCCCTTATGACCACTTCAATTTCTGGACCGAAATGATAACGAAGGCAGACTTTCCGGCGCCAGGAATCTATTTTAGCTTTTTCAACCATGCTCCTTCAGCCGCATTCAGCAATGGCCCTGTTTGCAGGTGGGTCCGGTTCTATTTCCAAGGCTTATGCAGTAGGGCGTGCAGCCAGGAAATCTGAAATAGTAGAGCCGTTCAACATGTTCTGAACTTTTGGATCTCTGGACGGGAGCTCAGGTTGTGAAAGACCTGCCCGACAACGAGAAGGAATACGATAAACTAACGAAGCACTCCGTAAACCTTATTCGGAAAGGAGGTTCCAAAATGCAGCAAAATGCGTGGAATGACTGGTTAACAGCAAGGAGATCCAAGGCAAGGTCGACGGAGGAGGGATGAGTGAAACTTGGCTGGACTTGGATAATCTTCTGTCCATTGAAGCATGACTGCAGCTCTCGAACCTCTTACTGGGTTTGGTTGAGCATGTCGTCGTTTCAGGCAGCCAGTAATTCTGAGGAGTGCAGACTTTGCGCTCCAGAAGTTGAGCTGATCTTTGACACGCCTCGCCGTGAAGGTGTGAAACATGAGAATTGGCTCTGCAGAGTGTTTCAGGATTTTGCCGAGCCTGGTAATTCTTTACCGCCTCGGAAATTTGTACAGAACCCAAGCTTTGTGCTATGTTTGGCCTGTGGCCTTGCTTTTTCTGGTTGCCCGAGTACCGAGTTGCCAGACGACCTTGGTCTCGTCCACTCACGGTCTCTTAGCAAGAGGGCTGGCGAGTGCAGAATGTCCGTTGTCAACATGATCGAATGCGTAGAGGTTTTCGTTGACACAGGCGAAGATGCGAAGATCTTGCTCTTACAAGAACCGTGAGCTGCATGCTCTCAATGTGGGCTACCCATGCCCATGTGATTTCCATAAGATCGCCAACGGCGGAGAGCTTGTCGTCTGTTGGCTCACGATAAGCTGCTTCGGATCCCGTGAGCATACAGGTGTCTAACGAATCCGCTTCACACCAAGAAGTCCAGAAGCGGCAAGCTCTCAACGCGATGCATTACTCAGGCTTGCAAAAGCATGTTTTTCGTGGTACAGTATGAGTGCAAATAACCTGTGCTGCCGCCATTGAAGTTGCTTCTGTCGCCAGGCCATTGCCGTTGCCGGCTCCTGCAGTTCTCTTGTTTCTTTCGATTTCTCTTGTTCTGCGAGTGCGGTCGCTGATACTCATGCAAGGCTAGAATAATCGAGTGCCATTTCCGACCGATCCAGTCATGCCATGATACCTGCAGCATCGAGTATTTCTGAGCTGTCGTTATTGTCGTCTTTCGCAACCACAGTTTAACGATCTAGCGGTTAGTCAGTTTGTTTTCCTACCCGAATGTAGCAGCGATGAAATCAGGCCGGTAGTTCTGCAACGGAGACGTGTAGTTGAACTCGTTCAGAAGCGCTCCGTTCCTCGCGTAAACCAAAGTAGAGGCGACTTGGGCCCATGGTGCCTCCAGTGTTGATGCTTGCATTGATGTCGACACTCTCTCCTTTGCACGAGGCTAGCATGCCATGAAACCTTCCATAGACAGGCGAGGAAATTGTGCCACTAATTTTTTTCTCCTGTCGCTATGTCGAAGACAGTCCTTCGTCTTGCCGTAGTGTAAGCCACCAGAAGCCAGCACTTGCAAAGCAAGCAGAGTCTTCCTGGCATGTAGGTCCGAAGAGGCACACAATCCAACATGCGTTCGTTTGGCATTTGGGGCAGCAAGTTCCCGTCGTGGCAGTTCTTGACACCGTCGATTGTGATAAAGACCCAACCACAAGGGAAAAGTTGAAGGAACAAAGCAAGTGCAGGCGCGAGGAATTGCGATTTGGCCAACGGGCAGCCGGACAATTCTGGCTTAGCTTCGCGAACCAACGTGATTGGAACCAGGAATCAAGCTACTGTTTCTCTGCCGAAGGATCCAGCAGCAAAGTACCTTCGCAATTTCCTTGAGTTGCTGGATGTAATTAGTCTGGCTTGCCGACATGACGGTCACTGGCTCAGGCCTGGAAAGCATCATTGCACGGCGTCGGCTCGTAAACTTAAACCACAAGCGACCTTGCTGATCAGATCAGCCAAAGGAGGGGCGAATTGGCAGATTTTCGATTACTGCATGCCCGCATTCACCTCAACCTCACCTAGATTTTCTGAGGTTGCATTTCTTTGGTGTCATTGAGCCGTGCAGGGTGGAACGTACGAAAGCATCCTGGTGTTGCATTGGCCATGTCGGCCAAAGGCCATAACAGCAGAAACCGGAGTGTAGGCTCTTTGGGGCCTGACGGCATGGCACTGGCTGCCAAGCACCGTGCCAAAGCCGCCGGCGCGAAGGCCAGCGCGCCCGCCGTCCGAGCGAGGCCTCGGACAGAAGCGCTTTCGCAGCGATGCTCTGCGCTCTCCCCACGCTTTCGCAGCGAGGCCAAAGTCGCCCGATCCGCTCTCGAAGGCCAAGGCCAGGCGCCCGATCCGCGGGCTGCGATCTTCTGCAAATTGTCCTGTCCTGGAGGAAAGTCTGCCACTGGAGCCCGGTGCTTGACCGAAACTGTGTGGTAGCACGGCTCCGCAGTGCTGCAGGCATGAACTTTCAAGAGCGCTTGCAGCGGCGGACACTGAGAGGACCACCTCGATAGCGCTCTGCAGGCTTTACAGTCCCTTGCCTCATGAAGGAAACACCTGCACACGCACGAGACCGAATGTCGCGTGATGCAGCGCCAGCTGCTAGCGTGTCTCAAGGCGAGACGTGCCAGGGCATCCAGAGCAGCAGCGACGGCCCGAGTTGTATCATCATGTTGCTTCTTCAGCTCCTCGACGTGTAAGGTTTGGTCTCACAGCAGCCACCTCTAAACACGTGGTCCTGGTCCAAACCAATGCAAAGTACGAGCAGTTTAGCTGGACGCGAAGCGAAGTGGCCAGATGTCGCCCTCGAAGACACTCGCCAGGATAAGGACGAGCTTCAACACCGCATCAACGCTGCTGAGGCGGTGCGAGGCTCAGAGCCTTGTGAGAGTGAACAGGCCTCCGTTCTGATTCGTGCAGCCTTCGAGGACAAACAACAGCATGAGCAAGAGCGTGTGGCCTAGCGGGGACAACCGGGATGCCGACAACACAAGTATCGAAAGTGAAAGCGACTTGCCTTTCCAAGAACCCGCGTGGTTTCAGGCTCGATTCAGTCCGCCATGAAAACGCAAGCATGTGCAATCCTTGGTCAGATTTTTTGGACTTAGAATCACACTAGACGCGGCAAGCTGCATGCCGCTCATGAGGCAATCGCAGTTGGAGGCGTTGAAGTCAGAGAAGCTGCTTGGCTTGGTTGAAATGTCTCGGTCGAAGCACAAGAGCACGTGCAGTACCTGCAGGCTGGCTATTCTCGCCCATCTGAACGTTGCCAAGCAGCAGCGACAGGAACGATTCAGCATCCCGCTCCTGTGGGAACGTCCAGATTTTCCTCTGCCGAAGGCCTTGCTGCACCAAAGTGGCGTTGTGGCAAAAGAGGCTCTGTCACTCTGCTAATATCTCCGTTTTCACATTGTTCGCAGTGGTGGAATGTCGAGGTGCAAACGCTGCGACAGCGCCTCGCCAAATCGGCAGAGGAGGTTCGGCAGTTTTTCTCGGCGAGTATATATTGGTAAATGCATAACAGCCCCTGTTGCCAGGACGCAAGGCAAAAGTCGGAGCTGAAAAAGCTGGAGGATGAGCGACAAATGCTGAGGCCTGCAAAGAAGAGCAAAGCACAAGTTACATGGTCGCCGAGTCGCCGATGCCGTGCTTTTCTTTGTGTGTCGGAGCAGCAGCAACGGCCTGAACATCCGGAAAAGGTGGTCACGTAGCCCGAGCAGGGGAACCCGACGCTTCGGACACACTAAGCTGCAGTTGCCCCAAAACGGCCGGCGGCCGTCAGCTGGCCCAGGCTCTGTCAAGATCGCCTGGACGGATGCCCTCCCAAAGCGACACAATCTCCCGGACGATCGTGCCGGAGCAACATGCAGAAGGAAAAAGCATGCCAACTCGAAGAGGGGTAGCTCGACAGGCCATGCGAAGCCAGAAAAATGAGTTAGGCTGAACTGGTCGGGTGCAATGTGGCGTGAAACAGGCGCGCAATAAGACGGAAGTCCTGCCGCGGAATCGGAAACCACGACGGAGTCGCTGGGGCCCATGTTGAAGTAAAAAGTAAAAACGCTGCCACGTAAAATCTGAAACAGGAAACTGGGACTGCGTCTCAGCCTGAGCGTCAAGACCGAAGGTCACGAAGAGGAAGCGACCGGCCGGAAGCAGACGACCGGAATGTGACCACCGGACAGCGACCCAGCTCAGGGAGCCGGAGCACGAAGCAAAGCTGACAAGACAGGACAAGAACATCGGAGAACCAGCCTTGAAGGTAGTTGAGAAAGCCATGGCTCAGGACCGCCACCCTAAAAACGGGTCGAACGCAAAAACCGCAAGACGGGGAGAAGACCAAAGCACCCGAAAGAAAAAAAGGTTTAAGGAGGAAGGATGCAGTTGTGAAGCAGATGCTTCGACATGCTTCAATGTGCACCAGGGGAGCATCAAGGCCGTCAGGCAGTTGGCGGTCAAGCAGTAGCCCAGTGTGCACTGCTTCGATAGTTCTCCGTCTTCGGCGACACTGAAACGCGCATGAGTGAACCTCCTCATAGCGCGATCCGGATGCTGTTGCAAAGCGTTTGCCGTGTCGGACGTCGTGACTGCAGGCAGCAATTCTCTGTTGTGGAGCAGAGCAAGTGTGGATTGGAGCAGTGCAAGCCTTGATGATCAGCCTTGATGCTCTGGTGCATCATTGCCTGGAGCAAAATGTGTCAGCAGCCGAGGAAAATCGAGTTTGCAAAGACTGAGCGTGATGCTCAGCGGCTTGCTGGGAGCTCAGGAGAGTGCTCAGGAGCAACCCGACTTCTTGACAAATCACACATATCTGATTCATACCTTGCAGGCATGTCGACGTGTTCAGCAACAGCAGAGGGCCTGCCATTCTGAGTGCCTCACCTAGCTTTGGCCGAGCAAGGAATCAGAACGATGATAGGGTGCTTAAACAAAACATCCAAGGATGGGAAGTTTGGAGACGGAGCGGCAGCAGAGCTGCCGAAATTTGCAGTCCTAGACGTCCGATAGCAAACAGAAGCTTACAGGCAAAGAATCCGCTTGCCAGGCTGCTGATGTCCCAGGCCTGTATTCATGTGATCGAAGTTTTCTATGATTATTTCTTGCGACAGGTCAGCGAGGTCGAGCAGAAGAAAAAGACTCTTGAGCAGAAGGTTGGAAGGCCATGTAGCGCCTTCTGATGGCTTACGGCGGATACGACGGATCTGTACTCTGGCAGACACTGCTTTCTGTGATATGCTTCTTTGCTAATCATAGCGATCGACTCCTGGGCTTCAACGTTGTTAGCCAATGGGTGTTTCGTTTTGGGGGGCCCTCGCAGGGAGCAGGGTGCCCAGGCTGCCCTTCAAGGCCGGCGCTTGCAACACGCCGCCGTTGTATTGTTCTCCTTCTCTTGGAGGCCGCAGAGCCGCGCTGCTTCGGGAGATCAAGAGACTCGAGCAACAAGATGCGAGCGCACTTGAGGCTTCATTCTGTTGCCTCCTGAGTCGCAGATATCCAACCATGTTTTATCTTGAGGCAAGTAAGCAGCTCAATGCAGAAGTCACCAAGCTTGAGGAGGCCAAGAAGGCAACACCGAAGAGCTCTGTGGTAGCCATTCCTTTGTTCCTTGGACATCCAAAGCTATGCTTGGCAGACATTACACAGAAGACTTCAAGCCGCTTCTTCTGAGATGGCAGCAAAGCGTCACAATCTCCTGCATCGGACTCGAACTGGCTGTGCTCTTGCCTCCTCGTGGCTGCGCTGCTTCGCTTTGATCACAAGGAGCGAGAGTCAGCAGCTCAGTCCGCTGAGCGCGGGCTCGGAGCGTGTGTTTTCCTTCACTCCCTCCTCAAGGCTCCGGGTTTCGAGCCACACAACATAAAAACAGATGGCGCTAAGGTAGGAAACAGGGAGAGTCAACATAAACAAGAAGGGCAAGCACTCCTGCGGGAAAGCCCAAACATCGTCAGGGCCTTTGCACACAGAGAGGGAGCTATGTATGTACAGGACGACTCTCCATACCCCTTGCTTCCCCTGCTCTCAAGCCAATCTGCGACATCCGAGATTCCGGTAGGACCAGCGACGACTGTCCTGGAGCCTTTTGTGCCCAGAAGAAACTCCAGGGCTTTGGAGAGTTGTCATAGCGACCGACAGGTCTTCGTGTATTGCACCCCGAAGCCTCAGCTGTTGGCTCATGCTCCGTGAAGCAGCAAGCAGGCATGTCAACAAAGATTCAAGACATCGGCCAAGAGTACCATTGAATGCGAGCTGAGTGAGTCATGGTGGCTTTCAAACTGAAGGGTTGGGAGTTGGGAGTTAGTGGGACTTTTTTTGGAAGCCTTTCAAGATGGAGGCGTTCCTGTCGCTGATTACCAGCACATCCCAAACACGTCCATCTGTGCAGGCCTCCAGTGTGCGGGAGGCCCTGGGAGCCCCAGGAGTTCCGTGGACAGCCACGGATGAAACTTCCTTGGCAATGGGCAAGATGGCGTTTTTGGGCGTCTGCGGATGCTGGGCCCGGCAGGCCCGGCAGGCCCGGCAGGCCCGGAGGATCCCAAGAGTCCTTCGACGAGCTGACAAAGTCATCAGAGGTGGATCCTACACATTAGCTGACTTGGCAGGAAAGGTCAAGGCAACTCCCGTGAAGCCAGACGGGACGGAGCTTTCTCCTGGGGAGGTACGACACATGGAAGTGCGACAGAAGCAGATCGCTGCTTTGAACAATTTCATGCTGCAAAAGCATCGAAAGAGCCGGAAAAAAGGCATAGCTCCACAGATTCTTTACACAGACGAGCCCGACAACCCCTGGAGGGATCGCTACCTCCTGTGCGAAGACTGTGAGAAGCGTGTAAACCTCGGCAAAGAACCGCGATCCAACTGCAATAACTCGACTTTGCTAGAGCTGGACATGACTGCACCCTTTTCACGCGAAAATGTGATGGTTACTAGCTGCGACATTGTGCAAATGATTCGTGACGATGTTTGGGTCTACAAAGACAAGTACGGCAAGCTTACAAGGTCGGACAAGAAAAATGCAACGGGCACTTTTCCGGTGCAGGTATGCTGCGTGTGCCGGAAGACGACTTTAGAAGAAGGGAGGCGCTTCAGGATGTGCAATGTCTGCCGAGGAGTCTCGTATTGCTGCGAAAGATGCCGGGCCGCGCACAATCTCAAGCACCAGGCCACATGTGTTCGACCATACTTGCCATACCGTGGTGAGTGGGGCATACGCAAGGAGCTCAGAAACATGCGCTCAGAGATTTATCCTCTGATCAATACCTGGGCCCTCAAGGAGCCAGACCAGCACCGGATAGCCTGGCTACCAGCTCCAGAGCACCAGCAGAAACTGTTGGATCAAAGCCGGCCCAAGAAGAAGGTGAGCCTTCCTACGGGATCCGGGAATCGAAAACTACTTGCGGCAGAGGGCATTGCGAGAAGTTGTGTGCAGGACGGCAAGATTGTGCTACGGGGGAGGGCACCATTGGCATATCGGCGGCAGCGCACCTTTGCCAAGCAAGAGGTGCCCGATCAGGCTTTCTTGGACATGATCGGAATGACCGAGGAGGAGTATGTACAGAGAGATTTGGAGCTGCGGAAAGAGGTGCAGGAGGAGGACGATGCATCTTTGTCAATTGTCGAAGAGGTGGTAGAGGAGCCTGCTGAAAACTTGACGCTCAAGAATGGCACGTTCGGTGGCAAGAAGGTGAGACCGAGAACAACCCTTCGAGGAAATCACATACCAATCCCGGTCAGAGAAGTCCCGCAGGTGGTCTTGGATGAAGGTGCCATAGCCCGCATGGAAGCAGCCGTGGAGAGTGGAGAGATTGTCAACATCGACGAGAAGCAGTTTGCACCAAGCAAGCCTGTTTGGGAGATGCCACGCCAGGGTCAAGCAAGCAAGTTCTGGACTCCAGTGCCAGAAGACAGAAAGAAGGAAGGCGTGGTGTATCCAGAGTCTCCAGTTCGCGAGCTTGCCAAGAAGCATGGGTTGCGACTCTCGGAAGATGCCCTCAAGCGCTTGGAGGCTGCCGCAGAGGGAGCCGAGCATAATCGACACCGTATTAGCTGGCAGAAGCCACTGATCGTTGATGATGCACAGGAGCAGCTGACTTAAGCTGGTAGCTCCTGCCTTTTGATGTGCCGCATTTTGGAAAATGTGCCTGATGCATTTGCTTTCATGCGGGGCAGTTGTGTACTGAGATGTACTGAGTCGCTGCACAAGCCGCTCTCGTTGCAGGGATGATGCGCTCCTGACGGGCAGCATGGAAGCCCTTCGTGAAGGTCAGCTCTGCGAACTCACCGTGCACACTCCTTGCTTCTGGAAGCTTGTCTCAGGTGCGGCAGATGCGAACACTGAGGGTCGGAGCTCCGTCTCGGATGCTCGAAAAGGAGAGAGCCAGGAGGGAAGGACGGAGTCCTTGAAAGATTCCGAAGAGAGAGGAGCCGGAGGCGCGGGAGGCGACGGAGTCCGCGGCTCCGGAGGCTCCGGCAGCTCCGGCGGCTCCGGCTTCCTCAGCGACTGCGCCCTTCCGGAAGAAGCGGAGAGTTTGGAGCATCTGGAGCATGTGGAGCTTGGGCAGAGCGTGGATTTGGCAGAGCTCGGCCTCGAGGCGCCGAGTATCTCCGATTTGAGTCACCAGGCTTGGGACTTTGGGACTTTGGGCTTTCCTTCTTGGAGGCCGCTCCTCTGGGCGCCCAGGACCTCCTGGGAGCTGGAGCCGACATGGAGCAAGCCGAGCTTGTGTTGCAGCATCTCGAGACATCTTTCTTGTCCCCTCCCTGATCGGTGAGACTGTCAAGTTGCCACGTCACGGGCCGCCCGTCCGCCCCTGGGGGGCCCTTCGAAACCACGTTAATGCCTGATTTTGTTGCATATCAACGTGCACACATACACGCAGCGCCTACAATCGCATCAGGTTCTTTGTCGGTCCCCAAACTGGGTGGCTGCACTTTGGGGGTTTTACGTGAGGAGTGAGAGGACTTACTGTCACCTCATTCGTGCCTGTTGCTGTGACTGCATGCTCGATCTCTCCCACGTCGAACTCTCGGCACAACGTCATGCGCCGGACGCCGATCGAGCGCTTTGGCGCTTTCCAACTTCCCGGGCACATGGTACGGCTTGCTCGGGAGTGCAGGACCCACTTCCCATCGAAGGCTTGACGCCTTTCGATAGCGGTCCGGTGTCACCAAATCCCCGGTATGCATCGCAGCTCGGAGCTGCGGCATGATCATCTGATCCCCCCCCGGGCCGGTGGGATGGAATCGTCTTTTGGAGCCGACAGTTTGAGAAAAAGCCAGTGCCGTGAGCTCGGCCTTCCCGCGAAAGCCGCACGTTGCACCAGCGCCTCCGCAGCTGGTCTCGATCTGAACCTAGCAGTCTTGCTACGAATGGTACCATCCCGACGACCATAATGCCATAGTTTCCGCTCTGTGATGTGTTACTTTCTGCTTCTATTGTCCACCACATCCAGCTTTGGGATCATGAGTACGGGTGAAGGGGCTTCACATACAACACACTAATTTGTTGCTGTCCAGGTGTGTTTTCTTTTCCTTGCGAATCCCGAGCTCTAAGCGCTGTGTTCGACCGTGCGTGAAGTCGGCGCAACCCATGTCTCTACGTTTGACTCTGTTTGCAGCCTCCATGCCGCTCCCAAAGCCCGAACAGAACTGCTTCTTATATCTGGAAGCCTCATGGAAGCCAGATCGCTCCTCCTGCCAGGGCGTTTTAGCTCGACCTTCGTGCTCGCATCTCGGCTGCTGCCTTCGTTAGCTGTTATCCAACTTGCTGCATCTGCGCATGCATGGTTGCAGGTGCTGCTTGGAATTTGCTTTCCCTCTTTGTCATCGGATTGGTTTATCGTGGTAGCATGTAGAGACTCCTGGCGGATGTTTGTTCCCCGCATCCTGACACGGGCGCCAGTGGAACATGTGGCAGCCATGCGTTGGCATCGCTTCGTCGATCTTAAGTTCAACGTTTTTCCATGCCACAACTTGACTCGCTGAAGCGACGTCTTGTGCTGCCTGCAAAGACCAGGCATGTTTCCAAGTGGCAGGTGTGGCACAGAGAGGCCATTTTCCTCATGGTACTGTGCAGAATCACGACATTTGCGATGGCCCCTGCAGTGACGATGTGGTGTTCGTGGGCCACGAAGGGCCGAATCGACGTCGCCGTCAGATGTGGCTCAAGGGGTGTAAGTGGCCAAGAGCGCTACCTAATCCGAGATTGTATCTTCCATCTGCCACGCTCGAATCACAAGAGGCACGCGACGAGATTGATTTCACAGTCGATCCAGCAAAGACGTACTGATGCAAACCACAGGTGTTTTCCAAGGTCCTTGCAACCAAGTACATGGTGTTGTTTTGGCTGGCATAGTTCCTTTCTTCAGGGATACGTTCTTTGTTCCGTGTCTTCTCGATGCAGGTGGCCACCGGGCATCATGTTGCTCGTCTTGCCAGCGATGATTCTGCAACTCTGTCAAGCCGTCATGGTGGTGCCCCGCTCAGCATAGTTAATCCCCATGCTAACGGCATTTGGGAGCTTGATTCTGCTGGGAGGCCTCTGTTAGTGTGGACCGTCTGGATGAGCATCTTATGGCCACGGCACTTATCCAGGCGAGCTCTTTGCCGATCATCATGCTTTTGCTGTGGGCCGGGCTTGGGCATACTGTCGTGACAGACGAACGTCATTGGTCCAAGAGCCGCAAAACCTTCACCGGCTCCAACAGATGCAAATGTGCCTTGCCCGCATCTGAAAAGACGACGTGATGACGTGCTGTCACTGCTCCATGCTCCATATTCTGCCCTCGTGTTTGGGCAAAAAACCTTTGCGCTACCTGAGGGACGGCCCGAGACCGAAGGAGATGCGACTGCGGCTGTGGTTAACCAAACGGCCAAGGAAAGCAGCCAGAGCAATGCGAGCAGAGAGTCTAAGAGACCACGAATAGTGGCCGACTCCAATAGCTCCGCTCAGAGCGCGAAAGCCGACAGCAAGGCTGGCAGCAACAGTACACAAGAAACAGCCAAGTCTGAGGAAATTCCAGCAGCCAGCAAAGCGGTGGCGTCTAAGACGACAGAGGTCAAGGCCGAAGAAGCTTCGGCCATAGCGAAGGTGGACAGCAGTTCCGAGGAGGCCGAGGCGGCTCACGAGCAGCAAGCAGCTGAGGAAAGAGAGGAGGCAGCGCTTATCGTAGAACTTATATAGATCTGAAGCCTCTGAAAAGCTCGGCCATCTCAACTCACCTCCGAAGTTATGGTTGTGGTTTCACGAGGCTGCATCCACTGTTCTCGGATGGACGCCGCAGCCCAGCGCCAGACGATGTGCTCTTGCTGCAGATGTTTTCCTATCGAGGCCTGACGACAATGCCTGTGGCTGAGCGAAAAAGCTGCATTCTGCTTGGAAGCGAGGGCTGCGCGATGGCACTGCAGGCAACCGCTGCCGTCAACTATGCCTCATCCTACGACCCTGCTTTGCAAAGCTTCCGCTGACTCGCTTTGCTCAGTCTTTGCTCCTCTGAGCTGTAGCCTTCACAGGACTTGCAGAACTCCAGGGGGAGCGTTCTCCTCTGGACGATGGCCGCCACCTACGGCGCCCTCACGGCCCGGGCCCCGACGACATCCGCTGCCGAAGAACGGAACAACGTCACGTGCCTTCGCCTGGTTTCCCCTTCAGGTGCTGGCGCTCTTGCTCTTCATGATCTGTGCCGTGCCTTGGCAGCCAGCGGCAGGCACTCAAACTCTCGTCGCATTGTCACATTGCCTTCTCGTCACTTAGGACAGGCAGAGATATGCCGCGCAGCTTCAGGCGGAGAAGGCACAGTGCTCTTACCTGGCCGTAAACAGAAGTGACGCGCAGCCTGCAAAAGGCCATGGCTGCAAGGAGCGCCAGGCTGGCCCAACCCACCAGCCTCCTCAATTTGCAGTGGCATGCTGTGCACGCTGCAACAGTCCCTCGCATGTAAGGCCAATGTTGTGATACACCTCGGACAGCTGGAGCAGCCGTGAACCTTCTCCAATTTAGCCGGGGACGTCAAGATGCCCTTGACATGCCGAGCGAGTTTCTGCGCTAAGCGACAATTGCTAGATTCCGCTAGATTCTTATTCAGCGAGATTGCCAGGATGTTCACGCACATTGCCGCTTGATGGAACACAGTTCTGCGCGGGATTCAGAAGCCATGCGAATGGCCGCGCTGTGTGCGTAAGTGCATTTGTGAAAAGCGCTCTGCGCCAACAGAGAACCGCTGCTGGCTGGGAGCGGGCCTGCAATACGTGAGCCGGAAGCATGGGAACTTCACCGATGCGATGCTGGCTCTTTCATGCTCAGGCACTCGAAAGCTCATTTGTACGTTTCATAGGCCAGCCCGAAAGTTTTTAGCGCAGGTTTCCACGACTCCGTCGAGTCAAGCAGTTTGCAGCTTCAGCCTAAACCGCTTCGGATCGCCTGTACCGTAGCAGCGAGCCATGTCGGCTCAGGACCCGCAGTTCTTGCCCAGACGTGGCATGTGTTTCGGTCGTGTCTGCCTACAGGACTTGCCTCCGGCAAAGCGAGCAGCAGCCGAGGAGGAGGAGGAGGAAGACGATGAAGCTCCGGTCGGGCTGTTGTCCACAGTGCATGTTGGGCATGTGAGAGTGCTCGTTTGATGCCTGAGCAACTTAAGCTCATCCCGCGATGTTGAACATGACATGAAGCGGAAGCGAGGCTGCAGTGCATCCATCTTCCAGGTCAAAAAGAAAAAGATGGAAGAAGTGCCACAACGTGTGGACCTCAGTTATCGCAGCAGGACTGCCATCAAGTAAAGCTCCTCACAATGGAGGCGCCCAGACAACGAAGCCCAAACGAACAGGATACTTGAAGTTAGAAGAACATTCTCAGGTCAGATCTACCTAGTTGCAAGATCCTGCGTTTTGGCTTTGGCACTGGACTGCTTTGAGTGCTTCTCACCGTGCTTCGGAGGCTTTTGAAGACGATGTCCTTCGTTTCTGTAGAAAGCACCACTTCTGCTACCTCTGCTGCTCTGCTGCTGCTGCTGCTGCTGCTGCTGCTGCTGCTGCTTGTGCTTGACCCATCCGGCACAACTGAAGGGGTCTTGAAAGATCCGCTTTTGCAAGGTCTACGCTCTTTCTCTGCCGCACAGTTCGAACTGGAGACCGGTTGAGTGATTCTGTGAGGCATGGATTGCCCCTATCTGGGTACCATCAACAGGCCAGTTCACAATTCGTTTGCCGGATCACACGTACGCTGAACGCATGGAGATGAGGCATGTGCTGGACTTCGACTTCGAGAAACTGTGCTCGATGACGCTATCGGGCGACAATGTCTACTGCGATCTGGTGGACGGAAAGTTCTTCCAAGGTCGTGGCAAGGAGACTCCCGCCTACCGCCAGGGCCTCAAAAGAGCTTGAGCCGTCGAGTGAAGGCAGCCTGAACTGAACAAGGCAGCAATCAGCAGTAATCAAAACGGCCTCCTTGAGCATCGGGTGGCCCTGCATGCCTTGGGACTAGAAGCCCAAGCGATACGTGCTGCTGGCATACTCCAGTTTGTGCGAAGCGGCTTTTATGAAGGTAGGAAATGCCATGGTTGAAGAACGATTCGAGCACCGGCCCCGATGCAAGCTCGCAGGGTTTGGCACTGAAACAAGCACGATTAGAATACGTGCGAATCAACGAAGTTGTGCTTTTCGGGTTTGGTGCTTTTTGGTTTTCAGGGCTTTGTGCCCCACGTAGAGCTTGCATGTTTACGGCATTCGTTGTTATTACTTACGGGTGGTGTTTACGGTTTTCAGGGTTCAGAACGCTTGGTTTTAGGGTTTAATGCGTGCGCGAATCTTCCGGCGCACGAATCCCCTGAATCCGCCGTTCCGCTGTGCTTAAAGCAGCTGCTGGGTGGACGAATCGGTTTTGTAGTGCGCAAACCCGAAATGCCATGGTGTTCCCTGGTTTTAGTGTGTCGCTCTTCTGTAGGACCTGTTGTCCCAAGGGCCAATGTTCTCCCACCGACACTGAGGCCACGCATTGGAGAAGGGACACTATGTATGGATGAATGCAGTGGATGGGAAAGTCTACTGCATTCCGGACGGTTACGAGGTGGTGGATAAGTCCCTTGAGGCCGGATATCCAACAGGGCCTCCACAGGTGAATTTGCCACTCGTGAGGATATCAAATACAACCTGATCCCATTCTTTGATGAGGAGGACTCGTGCTGTTTCGGCATGTTCTGTCTTTGCCGTGTTGCGAACTCCCTTCGGAGGGATCCCGGCCTTTGGCATGGTGATGTTGGTTCTTTTGCATCACGATAGAGGTGTTTTTGAGGTAGAGCTGTGTAGACTCAGTGTAGACGATGGTGTTGGCCCTCCGGCTGAGAGGCTGCCGGCGGTTTGCAGCTGCACAAGTGCGATCACACGTACACGGGCCCATTGCTTCTCTGGACAGGAGATTGAATTCATGTCAACACGCGTGCGGTATTCCAAAGCCTTGGATGGCACCGACTACATTCCTGGATGCATTGGTCCTGCACTTGGAATGACAATCACCAGCCGGCAGCAGCCGCTCCAGCCGTGGCTGCTCCCAGCCATTCTTCGCCACGGCGAGGTCTGAACAACATCCAGGACTCGGACTACCAGAATGTGGTCATCCAGATGCTCTGCACCGTCGTGGCCTCGGCAGAACCTGCTTTAGCCTCGCCAGGGCAGTGTGCGGAAGTAATTGGAAATACTATGAGCTGTCCGAATGAGGTGATCCCGATCCGGAATTACTTCCTGGGCTATCAGCCACCCTCCGAAAAGAAGTTGGACGCCCTAGACATGGCTCCTTGAGCAATCTAATGGGGCATGCAAGATGCATCAAGGCCAGATCCAGTGCTGGCAACAATCTCGCAGCTGTTCCGCAAGATGTACAACCCCAGGAACTTCAAGGGGTGCTGTCCTCAGGCTTCTCAGGCTTCTCAGGCTTCTCAGGCTTCTCAGGCTTCTCAGGCTTCTCAGGCCTCACGGCCTCAGTTCCTTCGATTTTCTTCGCTTCGCTCATACCCGTCTTCTCCGAGGATTGTCTCTCCCCACGAGTTCTACCAGGCTGTGGGCAGAGTTACGCAAAAGAAGCCTGAGACCCGGGGGATGCCGACAACTCCAAAATCGGAGCGGTGATGCCTGGGCCCTTGGCCTAGGTTCTATGCTAAGCAGATGGATCCTGTTGCCTTCTTCTCTTGGTAGACATCTCAGCCTGGATTGTGCAGGGGCGCTGGATCGTCAGTTTCCGAGTCCTCAAGTTCAACTGAGGCTGATGGGCTACCTTCACAAAAAGAGCAGAGACAAGAGGGGAGACTCGCTGGTTCATGACGTCTTCCAAGGTGAGGTTCAGGCACATTCCTCCCTCGCAGTGAGCAATCAGGTTGAGACGATGGCTGCACCTGATGCAGGTCAAGCTGTGCCCTGCCCATGAAGAGTCAAGAATTACAGAGTCCAAAGAGAAGACGGTATTCCTGACATTGGCGCCTCACTCAGACTTTCACGAGTCCACAGCCGGCACAGCTGGGCCAATTCCAGGAGCTGCCCGACGAGCCGCTTTTCAAGGACAACCTGGACTTCATTCCGCAGGCCATGGTTACACGGGTCTGTACGCAGTGTATCGCGGGAAGCTCTCGCACGTGTAGGTGCCGCTGTTTAACCTCCTGGAGAAGTTCAATGGCGAGAAGCCTTTCGAGAAGATTGCAAAGGGTGGCGAGTCGCGCGAGATCAGGAGGTCACTTCGTGGAGTGGTGGAGGGGGTGTTCATCATTGTTCATCAGGTGCTGCATTATTCAGCAGGTCTTGATCATGTGCATGCATGCAGTTACCCGTAACTTGGCCTGTCAGCTACCATAGACCGTCGTAGCCTACTTCCGCTGCTCTACTCTAAGACCCACTGCCCGCGAACTTGCTATCACTGTCACCGGCTCAGTTTGTGCATCATTTTCTGCTGCTCTCCTCTTCCTCTTCCTCCTCAGCTTAGTCATGCTCATGATCAGGTGAACTGGTACCGCCACCACGGTCATTTGCACTAAAGGAGCACGTCCCCTTCTGCATCACCATCATCTCTCAGACATATCCATCCATATGCATTGGTGGTCCACGTTGTCCACCCCTCCTCCTCCTCCTCCTCCTCCTCCTCCTCCTCCGACTCCGAATCGTCATCATCACAGCCGTCATCACGCCTGTTGAGTTTTCTGCCAGCATCATCATGAGTATCCTTCCGCCTAACTTCCTACCCATCAGGCCAGATATCATCACCATCATCATCATCATCATCCTCATCAACACCATCATCATCAGCATCATATTCATTCATCATCATCCTCATCAGCATCCTCATCAGCATCATCGTCGTCATCGTCATGATCATCATCACCGTCTTCTTCACCGTCATCATCACCACCATCGTCATCATCATCAACACCATCGCTATCGCCCTCGCCATCGCCATCGGCATCACCATCATCATCACCACCATCATCATCATCGTTATCATCATTATCCTCTTTCGTCTTCGTGTTGCACGTGTCGTCGTCGTCGTCGTCGTCGTCGTCATTGTCATCCTCCTCATCCTCATCCTCATCCTCATCCTCATCCTCATCCTCATCCTCATCCTCATCCTCATCCTCATCCTCATCCTCATCCTCATCCTCATCCTCATCCTCATCCTCATCCTCCTCATCATCATCAGCATCAAATATGTATCTCCAGCATCTCTTTCAGACTTCCGGGGACCTTTGTTCGCCGTCTTCATTTTCTCACGGACTCACCCCTCTTGATGATTTGCAGTACTCCGGCAACTCCCCTTTAGCTAGTGGTGTACAGGGTTGGGGAGGTGGTGGTGGTGGGGTGCTGGGGTCCGTGCAGATTTCTATTGACTGCGTTTGGCCTTCTACACGTGCGCAGGTACAGCTTGAGGCGCTTGCCTCCCTACGTCATCTGCGTAGTGAAGCGCTTC